AACCTGGACGTGTGTGGGGCTGATCCAGGAAATGGGCAGAAGCCTGGGAGGCTGAGCCGGAGGACGAGGAGGGTGGAGGAAGGGCTTGGTGAGAGAGGCTGTCGGTCTGTGGTGTGGAGGGAAGCGGGGAGAGCGAGGAGGGGCGGGGCGGAGGGGCGGGGCGGGGCGGAGGGGCGGAGTGGCGGGGCGGGGCGGAGTGGCGGGGCGGGGCGGAGGGGCGGGGCGGGGCGGAGTGGCGGGGCGGGGCGGAGGGGCGGAGGGGCGGGGCGGGGCGGAGGGGCGGGGCGGGGCGGGGCGGAGGGGCGGGGCGGGGCGGAGTGGCGGGGCGGGGCGGAGTGGCGGGGCGGGGCGGAGGGGCGGGGCGGGGCGGAGTGGCGGGGCGGGGCGGAGTGGCGGGGCGGGGCGGGGCGGAGGGGCGGGGCGGAGGGGCGGGGCGGGGCGGAGGGGCGGGGCGGGGCGGAGGGGCGGGGCGGGGCGGAGGGGCGGGGCGGGGCGGAGGGGCGGGGCGGGGCGGAGGGGCGGGGCGGGGCGGAGGGGCGGGGCGGGGCGGAGGGGCGGGGCGGGGCGGAGGGGCGGGGCGGGGCGGGGCGGGGCCTTCTTGAAGATGGGCCGCTCTTCTGTTTTCTTTCCGGGACCGCGGGAGGGTCAGTATGTCTTACTTGACGGTCAGGGCAGTGCTGCCTGCCTGGGGCTTGGCTGGGGGCAAAGCCCTGATGCCCAGGATTTGAGAGGGGTGAAAGTTGGCATCCAGGCCCACCAAGGACAGGCCCACCATGTCTGAGCCCAGGTCAAGTCTGAGGGAGCGCCCATTCCTTCTGGGGAGGCTGGACAGCGGTGCACAGACAGCGGCTTACCTCCTGCCTGGGGGGACCTTCAGGGACAAGGCTGGAGCGAGGTACCCGGCAGGGCCCTGGGCCTGGCCCAGTTCCTTGGTCCTAGGGAAGGACCCCAGAACATCACCTGTTCCTCGCCTCTGCCATCATTCCTGTCCCAACCCCAGGCAGCCTGGAAGGCAGGACAGCCGCAGATCAGGGCGGACAGAGCTGCTCGCCCGTGCCAGCGTTACCCGGCCTGCTGCGTGGCCTTGTGAGTCACTGCACCTCTCTGAGCCTCTGCCTCCACGTTCGTGAAACGGGCTGAGGATGGCAGCCCTCTGGGGACTCTGAGGAAGCAGACCAGGCCGGAGACATCACCGGCACAGCACCAGAGGGGCCGACACGCCAGCATTCACGGCAACTGCCTGGGCCCCACTCCCATCCCTGGGGGAGCCGCTCCCACTCAGAGAGACCCAGCTACCCCCCTAGACTCACAGCAGCCCTCGCTCCGGGCAGCCCGGAGCACTGGAAGAGTGGGGGACCGACAGGGCACTGGTTGGCATATGTGTGGATGCTGAACTTGGGCCACCAGGCAGGACGCAAGGCACCTGGCAGCACCACCTGCCCTCAGGCTCAGCAACAGCTGGGGTAGGACCTGTGGCCAGAGGTGGGTCTGAGCTGTCGACTGAGAGGTGGGGGTGTCGTGGTGAGCAGGAGGGTGTCCTGGTGGGAGTGAGCCCAGGCATGGGGGAGGGGTGCTGGGAGGCAGCACAGGAGAGGGTGACTCATGTTGAGTGCAGCCTAAGTCCCTTGAGCAAGCCAGACCTGAAAGCCTTCACCTTCCTTGTCCACCTCAGGCCTCTAGTTGTCCCAGATCTGAGATGTGCTATCTGGCTGGTGCCACCTCCCCCCCATTCTATGAAGAGGCTGAGCTCAGAATGGGGCAGTGACCAGCTATGTTCTCCCAGCTGGCACAGGGATGCCCCAGGCTTCATGGCCTGCCCTGATCCCACAGACCCTGCCTGTTTCAGGAGGCAACATCAGAGGAGCCCATTTATACTAAATGCCACTGGGTGGGCATGAGTCTGTGCCAGGGGGCCAGGGGCTCAGCCCTAGGGCCTGCCTTCCTTCCTGGGCATCTGCAGCCCTTCCCCGGGGCTCCAGCCTCCCTTCAGGCTCTGGAGGCTCAGCTACCCCACCCCACTTCCCATGTGTGGGCCTCCACTGTGCCACCTCCTCTACCTGGGGCCACCTGAGCTCCGGGCCTTCAGATAACCCAGTCCCAGAGTCCTCCCAGGCTCAGTCTGGTCTCCCAGGGACAGATGTGGGTCTCAGCTCAGCTCTGCTGGGCACAGGGCGGCTGCCTCTGGCTCACACCCAACAGGTTTGCCAGATGCCGCGCAGGGGCAGTGATGCTGATGGCTCGTTGGTGGTGAGCAGGGCACAGGCAGGCAGGAGGCCGCCAGGCACATCACTGGCTTGGGACAAAAATGGCGGGAGGCCCCGCCTGGCATGTGGCTGTGATGGGCACAGAGGCCCCTACCCCGCCCCCCTACCACGCACCAGGGGAGCGGGAAGTGCCTGGGCCCTCTCCAGGGTCGTCCTCAAACCCAAGGCTTCCACAGCCCAGAAGGGGTCGCCCTATTCACAGCCTTGGCCTCGGAGATGGGGTACAGGCGGGGCTGGCAGCTCAGGGCTCCCGGTGCGCCGCCTCCTGCTGCCACACGGTGTCGCTGTCAGGAACCTCACAGTCTGATGGCAGGGGTGGCCCGCGGGGGTGGCCCGCAGGGGTGGCAGGCTGCCTAGGACGGGCGGATGGTGGGGGAAGCAGGGCGGGGCGAGGCATGGCAGGGCTCCGCAATGAAGGAGGCACTGACTGCCCGGGACAGGGTCCTCTGTGGCTTCCCTGGTGGGGCACGTGGTCCTCCTGGGCCGTTTTTTCCGCAATTCACAACAACACCACGGACCGTCCCCACGACCGGGGTGGCGAGAAGATACCCAGAACCCAGGCTGGGTCCTCGCTCTATTCACCCATCATCCACACCACTCTCAAATCTACTCACCGTGTATTATATATTCACTACTGGGGGATCATTTTCTCTTTACGTTTTAAAAGAAATGGAAACAAGACTCTTCCTGGACCCTCAGCTCTGTGGCTTGTGCTGATGCGTGACCTGAGAAAGGCCCCTCCCTCCCCTGAGGTGCTCCCTCTCTGCCACCTCACTGGCTTTGTCCCAGCCCTGGCCCTGCATGGTGGCCGTGTCCCTTGGTGCTCGGACTGCAGGGTTCAAGTGGCGGACTGCCTCTGCATTCCTCCTAGGAAGGTCCAGGTCAGAGGGGGCCCTTTTGAACCTCAGGGCCCAGGGGCCTCGCACCCTGTCTCTCGTAGGGTACGGCTATGCTCTGGCGGCACTGCCTGAGCTGGGAGGGATCCCTGGCACGTGGCTGCTGCACAGCCCGGGAAGCGGGGGCCATCTCGAATGTCCCTGGTCCCCAGCTCTCCTCCCTGGACTTTGTTCTCAAGGTGGCTCACCCACAGCCCTGGGCACTCCGAGCTGGTGCCCGCTTAAATCCTCACGGGCACCCCAGGAGGTGGAAGCTACAGTGACCCCACTGCAAGACGGGAAACAGGCTTGGTGAGCGGCGTGACCGACCCAGGCCTGTCGTCCCAGAGCTGCCACAGGCTGCTGCTGGCCAGGCGATGAGTGGCTCCCTCCTCCCAGGGCCCTCATGCCTCTATTTTGGATGAGTTCTAGCAACCCCATCTCTGGGTATGGCCAGTCAGCAGGGAGGTTTTGGTCAGCTGGAAGGTAGGGAGGGACTTGGAATGAGCGAGGCCATCACCTCCTTCAGGAAGCCGCCCCTGACTGTAGGGTTGGGTCTGGGGATCCTCAGGGTTCCCCAGCCCTTGGGCTGCTCCACTATGATGCTGACCCCAACACACGGCCACTGTGTCCCTGGCAGCTCCAACTGACACAGCGCGGGGGCTGGGAGAAGAGGCTGGCTCCTCTGGACCGTCACGGTCTGCTCAGACACAGACAGGAGCTGCGGTGGCCAGAGGTGGGTCTGAGCCGTGAACTGGGGATTGGGAGAGTCATGGTGAGCAGGAGGGAGTCCTGGTGGAGGTGAGTGCAGCCTGAGGGAGGAGTGCTGGGAGGCAGTGCAGGCGGGGGACTCGGAGGTCTGCTCTGGAAGGACAGAGACTGTGAGGCCTGGCGGTGGGAGTGGGGAGGGATGGAGGCGGTATTCACAGAAGTGGCCAGATGTGGCTGCTGACTGATCAGCAGGTGAAGAAGCAGAATTGGTCAGTGGCCATGTGTCACCCACTCTGGCCCCAGAGGATGATGGCAGAAGGGTCCAGGGGGCATGTCACTCGTTTCTAGCTGCAAACTCCTATGTGGCTGTCAAGACCCAGCTCAGATGGCCCCTCCCTACCCTTGGGTCCCTCCTCCATGTTCCCTCTGCCCTTGGCCCACAAGCGACTCTGGGAGGGTAGGCAGGCCTGGCACAGACGGGTGTCAGGGTACGGGGTGCCGATCCGCCCAGACATGGCCATGCAGGGCTGGGTTTGCCTGCAGAGCCAAGAGGGTGCAGGGTGAAATCTGGGCCAAGACCGTGGCCTGTGGCAACAGGAGGGACAAGGATGGGCGGTGATGAGGGAGGTGTGGCCCGGCTACGCCCGCACTTCCCCCCAGGGGCTCTCGCTGGGCCGGGCACAGACAAGCCCACACGCCCAGGCTAGGATCGCTGGGACCAGCCCATGGCAGCTGCTGGCACGAGGGCCTGAGGCCTCCCGAGAGAACGGGTGCACATTTGGGATGGCAGTCAGTCAGAGGAGTCCCGGGTGCTCCAGGAGCTGCCCTAGGGGAGCACGGAGGGACAGGCACATTCAGACTCTGGTCAAGGTGTTCCAGGCACTGAGGTGGCCTCGGGAGCCAGGCCCTGGCAGTGCTCTGAGCTGCTGACCTGGGACCTCGGTGGCTGCCTGCAGGGACCTTGCCACTAGGCCTGGTTCCCGGTGCTCAGCTCCCCCCCGGGCTCAAAGCAGCGTGAGAGGGCAGAGAGCGGGATCCTGAGCCCAGGGTACAGCGTGGGGCCCATCTGAGGACTCCGGAGGCACTGGGGCGGGAGCAGAAGCTGTGACAGGCGAGCCTGACGACCCCGAACGGCTCGTGGGCCTCCCTCCGTGTCCCACGGCAGATGGGCCCCAGAGGCCAGTCCCTGGGCTTCCAGAATGAAAGGGGCCAGTTCCAAGTTCATGGCCAGAGCAGCTTTATTGCACCCAGGCTCCAGATGCCCGTCCATCTTTGGCTTAGGCCCCCCTGCCCCGTCACTGAGTTTGGGGGCAGCCCTCCCGTGGGGTCGCGTCACTGGGCTCCTCAGGGAAGGCAGTAGGTTGTATAGTTATCTTCTGAGGGGCAACATCACTGCCCTGAAACCACACAACCTACTACCTCACCCCGCCAGGCCCGGCCTTGCCCTGCGGGAGGGTCCACCAACCCCGCCCAGCGCCGCCCCCGCCCGGCGGTCCTCAGCCACCAGAGCAGGAGGGCTGGGCAGGCTCAGGGAAGGAGGGACAGTGGAGACGGCACCCCTGGAAGGGGCAGCTGCTGCTGGCTGGTCGCAGGAAGCCCCTGGCTATCTGGGCCTCAGTTTCCCCAGGTACAGAGGAGCCACCGTCCGCCTTCAGGCTGTGCCCATGTGGGGCCCAGGGAGCGTGCAGAGCCATCGCTCTCACTTCCTGCTCGGGAAAGGGGCCTCAGCCTTCCTTCCTCCGCAGGCAGAGGCCCTGCCACTGAGCTGGCCAGGCTGGGGCATGTGCTGGGTGCCTGGGCTGGTGGCCAAGGCCCACACCCTTGGCCCTGTGTCCGCCAAACGTCTTGGCCACCCCTGGGCCCATGGTGCCTTCTCCTGGTGCTCAGAGGAGGGTTCGGCCCAGTCTCCGGCTCAGGGCCACCCACGAGCCTGGCCTGATGTAGGGGGTGGTTGGGGGACAGAGGTCGGATGAACAGCCACGCGGGTCGCCACCCTCGGTGCGGCTGGGGCTCAGCTCTCCTTCGCCCTGACGCTCCACACTGCGTCTCCTTCCGTCCTCATCTGCTTCCGCTTTACAGAGGAGGAAACTGAGGCCCAGAGAGATCAAGGGCCTGTCTCAGGTCACGCAGCAAGTGGAGCCTGGGCCTGTCAGACTTCGTGTAGGCAGCTCCCACCCCTGGCTGCTGCCAAGGCTGCCCGCAAGCCCACCCCTGCCCCTCCCCAGCCAAGGCCTCAGATGCTGTGTCCACCGCAGATATTACAGCCACTTCAGGAAAGACAGTAGATTGTATAGTTATCCCATAGGAGGGCAGAGCCCCAAACTATACAACCTACTACCTCACCCCAAAGGGCAGTCAGTCTCGTGCTGAGGTGGGACTCCATGGCTTCCGGAGGCATCTCCTGGAGTAGGGGAGGGAAGAGGGCTGAGGGGCGCTGAGGGGGCCTCGGGGCTCCCTAGCAGGAAAACGTGGCCAGAGACGGGCCTCTCTGAGCCCCACCTCTCCCGGGCCTGGAGCAGGCTCAGCCTCAACAAACGCTCGCTGTGCCCACCACCTTCCTGGGGGAGCCTGGGGAAGAGCTGAAGAGGCAGGCATGCCTGTCAACCCCTCTTACAGGTGAGGAGACCGAGGCCCAGAGAGGCAAGGCGGCATTCTCGAGGTCACACAGCCGGAGAGCAGCAGAGTGATGTCTGAACATTCCGCTTCCTGCCGAGTTAAACCGCATGCTGGCTCTCGGCTCCCCTGGGCCAGAGTGGACTTGGAGGATCGACCCCAGCCCTCCCGCCACAGCATGTCCTGAGCAGGCTGCCGACTCCAGGCAGGCACTAGGCTGGGCTGGACCACATAGTCCTCACAGCCCTGGGGAGGCTGAGACCACGAATCCCACTTCATAGTGGGGAAACTGAGGCTAGGGGGTGCTGTATCTCTGGGCTGTATCTCTGTCTTTGCTCTCAGAAGCTGGTGGGGGAGGGGTCTGCTTGCTCTCCGGGCACCGCCTCCTCCTCCCTCCCGAGGGTCACTGGAGCACTGTGGGCAGATGAGGTGAGCCGCCTGGGGGAGTGCTGGGGGGTGACGGGAAGACAAGAAGAGACATCGCTTCTCGGGAGGGCATAGCCTGGGCGAAGGTCCCCAGCTAAGGACCTCTGTGCCTGAGGGCAGGGCCCGGAGAGGACCAGGAGTGTCCTGGCCCTCAGGATGGCTCCTACCTCCAGAGCCAGGATGGCAGGAGGCCCAGCTCACTGCGAGAAAGGCTGGCCCCAGGCAGGGGCTCCCAGGTCAGCGCCACTCCTTGACCTGTTTGGTTTTAAAAACAAAAGTGACAAGTGTCAGCTCTGGAAGAGACGTGGCCTTGCCCAGCTCTGAACCCTGCTGTGACCTTGGGCCTTGCCCAGACACCCCGATGGCCCTGGATGGAATGGCCTCCGTGGCCAGCCCTGTGTCGGCTGGACAATGCCAGGTCACTAATGACCAAGACCCGGGCCTATCCTTGTGTGGTCAGTGGCCAGCTTCCCCCACTGGGTAGCCCGTGCCCTGCCAGGCTGGTACCTGGATGCTCCAGGCCCAAGGGGAGGGTGGAAGGATGCATGGCCTGTCAGCAAGTGGCTGGACCCTGGAGGGAGGGGTTAAATCCCCACTGCACTGAGGAGGACGCTGAGGCTCCCCGGGGCTGTGGCTTCTCCTGGGACCCAGGACGAGGAAGGCTTGGGGTCTCCCCATGAGCGGAACCCCCCCGGGAGGGGCTCACAGCATCCAGCCTAGGGCTGCAGGGACCCCTCAAGGGCTTGTTCAGTGAATCACAATTTTTCCTCACTCCAGCCCATTCCGGCCAGGTGCCCTTGCAGGACGGGCACGGGGTGCGAAGGCCAGAGAGGCACATCCAGGCAGGAAGGGAATGGGGGTCCACAGGGCTGAGCCCAAGAGCTGGATGGGAGCAGACAGACCCTGGCTCCCCGCGGCCCTGTACGGTGTGACCTTGAGGAAGGGCAGCCCTGCTGGGGATCAGGAAATTCACTCACCAGGTTATTGGGGGGCCTGTGGGGACACCGGGTGGGGGTGCCCTTCCCTCCTCCTCCCTGAGCACCAGCCCTGCCTGAGCTCCCAGCCAGCCAGTCCGTCTACCACTGCTGCCACCCTTTCTACCGTCTCTGCCCCATCCCTGCGTGCCCACAGCCCTGGCTCCCTCCCAGAGCAGCAAATGCCCCGGGCAGGTCTCTGCTCCCAGCATTGCCCTGGCCCATCCCTCCGCCAGGCACAACCACCCTGCTTTCTCCTGCCCCTTTCCCAGGAGGGCCCTGCGCTCCCTGCCGAGTCCTGGCTCTGCCCCGCAGGCTCTGGGACTCGCATCTGGCCCACCCCGGCCTGCAGTGGTCAGGGAGCCTGAGTGGGGCACTGCCCACTCCCGGGGACTCCGAGGAGGGTGTCTGGCACATTTCCTGCGCACCCAACCCTGCTGTGCCCCGCAGGACCAGGACCTCACGGGCCCCGGCACGGGACTCCAGCCGACAACAGGGCTGTTTTGGGTGCGGGCTGGCGAAAGATTGATGCTTCTACATGGTGACCCCCTCAGAGTCATTTCTGAGCTGGTCGGGAGAAGGCCCCAGTTGCATGTTGTGGGGTGTACATGGAGATGATCTCCGGCAGCCCTGGGGGTGAGCACAGGCCTCGGGCCTGGGGAGGCGGCAGGAATCCCCCCTTGCCCGGGAGGCTTCAGACCAGAGAGACCCTTCCCAGCCAGCCTGGACGAGGGCTGAGCGGGCCGCGCGGTGTGAATGGCGCTCCCTGAGCAGAGCTGACGGGGAGTGAGCAGTCGGCAGGCGCTCTGCCATCTGCCAGCTGCCACCTCCGGAGCGCTGCCCTGGCCCCACGGTGTCTGCCCACGGGCGGGGGAGGGGCCGGGCCGGCCGGGACAGGTGTGCGGAGGCCTCGGTGGGCAGGTGGCCATTTCAGGGCCAGGCGGATGTCTGGAGCAAGTGAGGCAGACAGACAGTGTCACCCCGAAGTCACCTCAGGCTTGGCTCGGGGCCACTGGGAGCTGCCCCCCCCCCAAAAGAGCCCCCCCCCACCACCCTGATTGGGTTTCTCCCCATAAAGCGGCCAGTGTCTCTGCTCAGCAAGCCGTGCCAACAATGGGGTCTGGGAAAAAGACGGGAAGGGGTGGTGTCCGGGGGCTGGGGCGGGAGGCGGGCCTCCCACAAACACGGCCAAGAAAGCGAAGGAGACTCGGGCAGCCTGCGGCTCTGGCTCTGCCGAGCAGGGCGGGGACCAGGGCAAGGCTTGGGAGGCATGTTAGAGGGACCAAAAACCCAGCCATCAGCAGAAACGTCTGACTGTGAAATGAAATTAAAAAATAAAAACGAATGCGGAAAGGCCCATGATCTAAAAACATCAAACTTAAACTCAAGATGGCACGGGTAGGGGTTACTGACCTCTCCTCTGGCCCCGGGCTGCAATACAGCTGGGCCGCCCAGCAGCTTCACGGTCCCCAGCAGCACGCCACGGGACGCCGAGGCAAAGCCAGAGCTGGAACTGCGCTCCTCAGCCCCGTCCTCCCGGCCCTGCACACCTCACGCAGGTGGGAAAGGGGTGCCCCAGGGTGGGGCGTGCACCCAACCTGCCTTCCTTTCAGGGCTGGCCAGGGTCCCAAGGTCCCCTCACTGGCCCCTTGTCAGCACCCACCCCGTCTCCTCCCCAAAACTGACACCCACGTGCTCCGGGTCCGGGTCTCCACTGTTAGGGGTCTGTGCCCTGCAGAGCTTCTCGCTTTCCTGTTCGCTCCCGGCCACTGAGTTCTCAGTGCGGGACAGGCTCGGGGGATGCCTACTCCTCACGGCCGGGGCCCGGCCCACTGCGGCCACATGTCCTGCGCCTAGAACAGGGCCAGAGGCCCGGGCAGGTGCCAGCATTGTGGCCACAGGTGTGCGTGTGGAAGCCCACAAGAGTTACCCAGCACCCGAGACACCAAGGGCTGGCGCCGGCGGGGGAGGACTGTGCCCGGCAGATGTGCTGGCATCCATGGGGCACAGGCCTGGGGGCCCTCCAGGCCTCGTTCTGACCTGCCTCTGTCTCCCGCAGTGACGGGCCCGGGACGGGGCAGGTGAACCTCTCTGGGCCTCAGCTGCCTCCTCTGTAGGCCGGGTCAGGACGTCAGCCCCCAGGGCTGCGGGAGGATCGGGGGAGCCGCTCTTCAGCGCTCCGGGTTATGCAGACAGGCTCGCCTGGAGTCCAAAGGGGAAAGGCAGGAATGCCGACCTGCTCTTCTCCCGGGGCGAGCTCCGTCTGGTGTTTAATCATTAGGCACAGTTTTAACCTCAAAGGCGTGTACTTATCTGAAAAACATTCTTAATTCAAGCCACAGTCTGGGTCACAAGGTGGGGAGGACAGGAAAGAATGGGGGGGCGCCGGGGGGGGGCGGTGACCAGATGCAACCACATCATTAAAAACACCCCAGCCTGAACCCCACCCCGAGGTCACCCACCCAGCGGCAACTTCCCTCCTCGTCCCTGCCCCGGGACCGGCCCTTCTGCGGGTTGCGGGGGCTTTTCCTGCCAGGAAGCCCGGAGCTCCCACGTGCCCCGGGAGGCTGCGGGCCCCGGCCTGGCATGTGGGGCGACTCTGGTCTGGGCGGGCAGGCGGGCGGCATTCCTCCTTCCCATCCCCAGCTGGGTTTCCCCAGGGCGAGGGCGGGGCCTGGGCAAACTTGGCTTCGTGGTCACGGAATGTTCTGTCCAGGAGCCGCGGGGAGAGGAGTCTGGTCGGGGTGTGGGGTGGCGTCCAGAGACATTCCCAGACCTCAAAGCCTTGGCTGGGTGGCCAGCAGGTGTCTGGGGAAGGGTCTCCTCCAGCGCGGAACTGACCCACGGCCACGTGGACAACACAGGCCACGGCAAGGCCCACCTGGCAACCCCCCACGACGCCCGGAGGCCCGCACTGAGCCCTAGAAAACGCGCACACTTTCAGCAAATGCCGTTCCCTGCTTCATGCAGAGATTTCGCCCAGCTTCTTCCGGGAGGCGCACTGCCCTCCGGGGGGCGCTGCTGCAGGGATCGCAGGCGCCCACATACGGCCCACCCCACAGGGCTCCCCCAGTCCTGTCCTGCCCCCTCCCCACCTGTCCCCACGGCCGACACCCAGCGTCTCCCTGATGCCGCTCTGCAGTCCCTGACCCCCAGGGTTTTCCTGGAGCCCACCCAGGGCTGCCTGTCCCTTCGGTAACATGCCACTTGCCAGCGGGGAACAGGTCGTCCACTTCTGTGTGTCACGGACCTTGGCTGACCCCACCACAGGGGAATCCCGGCTAGAGAGGGGCCCTGCCCGCTTCCTGAGGACAGCGGTGCCCATCTCTAGGCCAGAAGCCGGGCTGGCCACTCAGAGACCCACCCCCGGCCAGGCCAGGCCAGGAGTGCCACAGGTGAATGGTCAAGGCCTGACGGTGTCACCCTGCAGAGGTGCGGGGAGCCCACACGGACCCCACGCCTGCCCACGCTGCCCTCAGCCCTGGACTCCCCCACCCGCGAGGCTGCACCCGCCTGGCCCTGGCTCAAGGCTTCTCCGTCTGCTCAGCAAGGCCGCCTCAGGGTCGGCAGGGCCGGGTGAGGGACCAGGACTCTCGGGCCGCCTTGCCAAGGGCGGGCTGGTGCCAAGCCCGGGGCGGCCACGGCCAAGGCCAGGCTGGGCGGGGGCCGGTGCTGGGCTCTGTCCAGGCCGCTCAGGGCAGGCAGGCGGGCCATGGCCGCCCTCCCTCACGGGCCTCGCCAAGGCCGCTGCCACCTCAGCTACGAAATGGCGGCGGGTCAGGCGGCCATTTTGCAGAGCGCTTGGAAGACAAAGACCGCCAGGCCGCGGGCGGGAGAGGGGGTGGGGCCGGGAGGAGGAGGGGACACGGCCACCGGGAAAGAGGCACCACGCCTGCCCTGCGCATGGGCCCAGAGACAGGCAGGTGGCCCCTTTCTGGAACCTTCTTCTGCCCAGGCTCCCAGCAGCCGGGGCCACCAGAGGCCTTGTTGTCCTGTCTAAGGCTCTGGAGGTGGCCCTGGGGGGGCTGGGGCCTGCCTGGGGCACCGATGCCCTCCCACCTTGCAGCCCAGGCGGCCTAACCTGAGGCACAAGCTCTGGGAGAGGCGGCAGGGGCCTACTGAGCCTGAGCTCCCAATTCAAAACCTTCCTTTGCCCCCAGACCTGCGGAGAGCGGCTCCTCACGTGCCCGAGATTGGAGCAGTGCACGGACGGGTGGCATGAGGGCCTGGACTCCAGGGACTGCTGTGCCAGGAAGTGGCTGCTACAGGGACACTGGGGGGCCGCTCCGGGGCTTGGAGGCTGTTCCCCGACCTCCTTCCCCAGCACCCACCCCATAGCCTGGAACTTTCCGGACCCTGACAACAAGGGTCGGGCCCACTTGGCCTCTCCCGGAGCCCTGCTCCAGCCGCGCTCAGCACCGGCCGCTTCCCAAACACGCCCCGAGTTCCATCCCGCTCATCTGTCTGGAGACCCTCCGTCTACTCCCCACCCGTGTCCCCTTCTCCAGCCTCCTCTGGACAAGGGCACGCACCCCGCTGCCCCTGACACTCGCCGGGCAGAGTGGAGCCTGGCAGGCAGCACCCCCAGATCCAACAGACGGGGGGCCCCAGGGTGCCACAGGGATGCCTTCCCGCCCCCGCCCAGCACTGGTCTCTATGTCTCTTCACCAGATCTTATTCAGAACCCAAAGGTCCGGCAAACACAGCGAGGCTGCTCCTGGGCTCCCGGGCCGGAGGTGCAGCCACGTGCCAGTCCCTCCCGGCCTGTGCAGAGCAGGAGCCTGTGATCACCACCAACCCCACTGCACAGACCGGGAGGCCAAGGCCCAGAGTGGCCGAGCCGTGGCCGGCAGCGGGGTGCTCGAGGGGCCACTGGGCCAGGGGAGGATACTACTCACACACCTGCGGACTCAGCCCCAGCCTCTGACGGGGACTGCCGCTCCGGAGCCACGGGCAGGACCTGCATCGAAAAACAAGTTTGAAATTAGGGAAGCCGGCACGGTGCTCACGGGGAGGGGGGCTGCCTGGGTAACACGGTGCAGCATCGAGGGCAGGTGCCACCGTCCCCATCGCCGTATCACCCATTGCCCTGACGACTCTCCGGGCATGAACAGACAGCCGCCTCACCTACTCCCGGGGCCTCTCCCACACGTGGCTCTTCCTTGGTGGGGCCAGACCTGCTGTAGGACGCAGGCTCCTGGGCACATGCTCCCGGCTGGGGACCTGGCCAGTGTGAAGGCTTTGCCACTGTGACACGCCAGGCACCCACCCAAGTCCCTCACACCTGGTGACTCACTCGGTCCTCCTGACAACCTGATCTTCAGATGCAGGAAGGGAGCAGCTGTTCCTTCCCCACAGCCACCAGCGCGGGAGTGATGCGCTCCCCGTGTTTCCGGGATGAGGGAGCAGGGACTCAAAGACGTTTACCTGCCTGTTCACAGGCACTAGGAGGTCCTTCTGTGTTGGGTGAGCCCAGGGAGCCCCCAATTCAGGAGGCCTAATTTTCTTTTTCAGGGACAGCCAGGAGCCTCTGGCTCTCCAGTTCTCAAGGCCACCCCCCTCTGGCTGGGTGGAGAAGGGCATGTCGTACCCTGGACTGCTGGAGCAGTGAAACGTGGCTGCGGGATGAGCTGAGAGCCTGCTCCTTCCCTGTACAGAGCTGGACACGGCGTGCTTTCAGCTCATAACTGCGTGGGGAACAAGGCCCCTAGCCTGGGCCATGCCTGGGGCCAGGTGCTCAACCAACCAGGCCAGGGAGGGAAGCCAGAGCTGTGGAGGCGGCAGCCTTGGGCACTGCCAGGAGCACTGGAGCTGGAGGCCTGGCCCGCCCTGGCACCATCCTGGCAAGGGCCTGAGTGGCAGAGCCTGTCCCCACTGCACAGCCAGGCTTCAGAAGGCTTGGCCCAGACCCCAGACCTCAGTCCCTCCCCACTCCTGAGAGATCTGGCAGCCCCACGCCTTGGCGAGACCACGTTCATGGAACCCAGAGGTGTTTCTACTGCATTGCAGGTTGGGGCTGGGGTCCTGCTCTGCTGTATGCCAGACTGGTGGCCAGGGCAAGCCCTGAGGGCTCTTGGAGCCTCATGTGAGGGACATTCAGCAGGGCCGTCAGGAAGAGGGATGACTCCACACGTCTGGCTCAGGGCTTGGCCGGTGGGAACTCCTCACAACTCTGAACCGAATCCAGAAGGTCTTTCACCCAGGTACCGTTGCAGGTGGCTGTCCTTGAACCCTGTCCCATCCCTCGTCATGGTCAGGGCTCAACCTCACACTCACTAAAGTTTCTCACAGCCAAAGAGCGCTGCTCAGAACCAACAGGGAGGTGCCACGCGAGGGCCACCACTCTGCATTTTGTCCGTTAAGGACAGCCCTGACTTACCAGGATTCAGCTTAAGATTTCTTGACCCAAAAGGATATGAATTCAGTAGAAACCAACCACACTTCAGTAGAGTGTTGAATAAGTAACAGGAGATCTGCAACACCTTATCGTAACTAGGCTTTGTGTTAGATGATTTTGCCCAACCGGAGGCTAACGTCCCTAAGTGTTCTGAGCACGTTTCAGGGAGGGCTGGGCTAGGCTACGATGTCTGGCAGTTAGGTGTATTAAATGCTTTTTTGACTTATGGTATTTTCAATTTTCAGGGAGTTTCTTAGGCCAAACCCCATCGCGAGTCAGGGACCGTCTGTATTTTTTGAGGGACTAAAAGATCACATGCAGGGCGATCGTTAAGGCCTTGCTTCTTGCTTGTCTGGGTAAAAACGGGCATCCGGGGCCAGGCACGGTGGCCCACGCCTGTAATCCCAGCACTTTGGGAGGCCAAGGAGGGCATAACAGCTGAGGTCAGGAGCTCAAAACCAGCCTGCCTAACACGGAGAAACCCCATCTCTACTAGAAATACAAAAGTTACCTGGGCGTGGTGGCAGGTACCTGTAATTCCAGCTACTTTGGAGGCTGAGGCAGGAGAATCGCTTGAACCCGGGAGGGGGAGGTTGCAGTGAGCCGAGACTACACCACTGCACTCCAGCCTGGGCTACAGAGCGAGACTCTGTCTCCAAAAATAATAATAATTATAATAATAATTTAAAAAATTAGAAAAGGCATCTGGGTATTTGACATGAGAGCAAACCTCTGTTCCCTTGACCCGTGCCTGGAGGCCGCCCGCGTCGCTGCTCACGCCCTTCCACCTCTGAGGAGAAAGTGCCACTCCACTGCCTGCAGAGGCTGCTGACGTCACACCACGGGCCCCACAGTCCCTACTCAGGCTGTGGAGGCCGCGTCCGCCAGGCAGTCTTGGAGCTGGCCGACGTGGCTTCTCAGCGTGGCTCTACCATGGGGTGCCAGGCCATCGCCCCGTCCCACGCCGGGGTTTCCCATGCACGCACATCTGCACCCACTCCCGAAGGACAGGGTGGCCTTTTCATCAGTAGGAACCTAGGGTACCCAGGACAGGAACAAGTCCCTTCAGAAAACCAGCCAGTGCGGACTATCAGGGGGGCCGCCTGGCCACCAGCTCCGGTTGGGGCTGTGGCTCCTGTTGTCTGCCACTGAGTGTGGGTGAGGCACGGGCTAACGGCGCGGTGTGGCCAGCAAGATGCCACCTCCTGAGTGTGAGGCCTGAACAGCCCATGAGAGACAGGCAAGGCCAAGGGACCCACACGGCTGAGGCTTCCCTGTCCTGGGCCACGGCCTCCAACGGGAGCAGTTTGGGACAGCTATAAAACAAATGCTGCTGAGCAAGTCCTTGTCCCCACAGACCTTCAACGGCTCCCCCAGGCCAAGCCAGCAACCCAGAGGCCCTCCACAGCCCCAGCAGCCCCCAGGCTCTGGCTCCACAAGAACGGTGTGGGGTGGCAGCCCTGCCTTGCCTGTGGTCCTGACGGAGGGTGTGTGACCCTGTGGTGATGACTCTGGCACCCGGCATCTAATGAGCACTAAGCAGTCACCCTGTACCCCGCCTCATCTGCCACTGGCCCAGCATGCTGATTCCAGCCCTGGACTGTCCACTGTCCCCTGCAGGCCTCTCTTCCTCCACTCCAGGCCCTTTCCCACACGTCCTGAGCCTCAGCCGCTTCACACGGTGGCGCCTGTCCATGATCCTGGGGACACACCCTCACAGCCTCCTGGACATGTCTATCTGAGCTTGGGAGTCAGAGACCCAGAGGGGCACATTCCATGCCCAAGCCTGGGTGAGGGACATGCCTGTGGTGTCCATTTCATCTGGACCCTGGAGGCCACCACTGCTGCTGTGGGGTGTTGAGGGATCACAGTGGATGGTGGCCAGTTGTGTACACGGGGAAGGCTGAGTGCAGGTGGGATGGGGTCCCAGGGGCAGGCCCGGCTTATGGTGGGTGCCAGGAAAACCCTGGCTCCGTGGACCAGATCACCTTGGCCAAGACCCACTAGGCCCCTGTCACATGCCTGGGGTCAGCTGCTCCCCCAGGCTGGTGTCCCTGTGACAGCCCCACAGTTCCAAGGGCTACCCTGACCTGTGTCTCCTCTTACCCAGGCCCAGCCCCTCTCCTGTCGACTATGCTGTTCTCTTCCTTGTTACTCCCCAGCCCCTCTCTCCTCTGTCCTGCCCCTCCTCCCTGAGTCCCCAGGAGCCTCCCCCACGCCCCACCTGTGTCCTGCCCCACTCTCTGCTCGGCTGGTGGCACGGCCCCGCGTGCAGACACAAAGGCCCCGGGGCAGCATCTGCAGAGTCTGGCGGGCAAGGCCGACCCGTAAACACGCCGGGACCCAGATGGCAGAGGGGTCCGGGCCAGACGCCGGCTGCTCTGCTTGCACACAGCAGCCTGGGGTCCTCTCTACATAGCCCCGGGAGGTGGGCCTGCCCCCGGCCATGGCAACGGCGGAGGGGGAGGATGCCAGTCCTGCCCAACCCACATGGCCGCATGGATGCCCCAGGAGGCGAGAATCATCTGCGACAGTCTGCACTTGGGGGCAGGCTTGCCAGGGGAGGGGCCCCAGGCTGGCTGCAGCCTCTGAGCACTTCCCAGTTTGACAGGCCTGCCCCTGGCCATGGCCACAAGACAGCCATGACAGACAGCAGCAGGCAGGGGACGGACGCCTCCCCTGCTGAGCCCTCAGCAGACACTGTAAACTGCCCCCTCATCCCTGGCCCCTCAGGCTGCCCTTGACCTCCCCTCCCTTGACACAGCTGGACCCTTGCAAACAGGAGCTTCACCCAACTCAGGCAGGAGGGAGCCCAAAAGACGGGGCCAGACCTGGACCAAACCCGAGTTCTTGGAGCCCTGGTCCCTCAGCTGCAGAAAGAGCACGGGGGGGCGAGGAGGGATGCGGCTGGGCCAGACCCAGCAGAGCCCGTGCGAATGTGCAGGAGCATCCGCCTGGGTCCTCGGCCCCCAGAGGCCTGCGGCCGGTGCACGCACGAGGGCGTGGTGTGTGTGTGTGTCAGTGCCAGACAGGCCCGGGGAGGGTGGAGTCAGGAGGGAGGGGGCTGGGGATCCCCAGTTTTCATCAACACTCAGAAACTGTACTGACCTGAGGGTGGACACAGTCCCTTGAGCTTCAGGCGTCACCCGAGGCGGTGGCTAAGAGCGGAAGACCTGGAAGGGAAGGGAAACGCTGATGGAGTTTTCACGGTGGCGCCCCCGGGAGTGGGGGGTGCATCTGTTCCCTGTCGGCTCCGGCCCCCACTGTCCTGAGGCTGCCGTGAGGCCTGAGCCCAGCTCAGGGGCTGCCTGAAGCCCTGGGTGCCCACAGGCCACCTGGAGGTGGGATGATGGGGGAGTCCCCGTTGCCAGGCAGGGCTGTGTACGGCAGGCCAGGGACCCCTGGCCCTACTCCCTCACTCCTGGGCCTGGAGTGGGGTCTCTTCTACCCATCAGGGTCAGGCTGAATCCCTCGGGTACTCTGGGCAGGGCAGACCCGGCTGCAAGGTGGGGTCTGGGGGCTTGGCTGGTGCTGGGGTTTCGCCCTCTCTACCAGACCACCCATCTCTAGGCTGCTTCTGACTGCAGTGAGCCCTTTCCTGCCCAGGGGGAGGGTAAAGATGCAGCTACCTGGGCCGCGAGGTCCCAGAGGGTCTTCCCACACCCACAATGGGCTCCTGATGTCTCCGGTGACACTCTGGGATGGGGCCACATTCTGCAAGACACAAGGAGACCAGGAAGTCAGCTCAGGAGGTCTGGTGGCTGAAGACTGGGAGGGAGTCAGGGTGGCCCCTCCCTCCACCCCTCCGGGACCCCTCGAAAGCTCCTGCAGGTAGGCCTGACCCAGCGAGCCCTGAGGTTAGGAACTTTCCCGGGAGGCTAAGGGCTGTGAGGAGGGCCGTGGCCTCTGCCCCTGCTCCTGCCTGATGCACACGCCCAAAAGCAAACCCCACCCGCTGGCTCCTGCACACCCCACCGTGGACCTGGACGTCCTGGTGTCCACAGAGGAAGGGCCAGTGGGGCTTGGGGTGCCGGCTCCCAGCAGAGCGCCGTATCTCCCTCTCAGTGCTCCAGGAAGCCCCCCCCCCCACTCATCCCTGCCTCGGTGCCTGCTGTTCCCTGGGGCTGGCGTGTTCTCACACCGTCACAGGTCCAATGCCACCTTGTCCAGGGAGCCCTCCTGAGTTGGGGATCTCCCCACCTCTAGCATTAAACTGGGGCCCCTTGCAATTAGTTCCCAGCCACTTGCAATGCCCATGCACGGCAGAAACCACGTTTTACGTGGCTTTGTCCCTGGGCCTGGCACAAGGTACCCGGCACCCAGGGTGTCGGGAAGTGCCCCACTCATCCCCCTCACTCCTGGAATGACACCCAACATCTGGGACTTACAAGGGACAAATCGGACTTTGGTTCTTTCCCAAGAGGTGACTCAAGTGGGAGATCCCCCCCAGGACTGACAGGGAGAACATCAAGGCCCGGGAGCCAGCATTCACCCGGGGTGACCCTGAGGCCCGCTCCCTCCCTCCCGACCCTGCCTCCGCTCGGCCGCAGCTGGGCCCCGCTCGCTATTGGTGAGGACTTGAGGGCAAACCGGGGCCATGGCTGGGGTTCTGTGGGGCCTTAGGCCAGACTCAGGTGGGGTGCTGAGCCCTGAGTGGGGGTGGGAGGAAGGAGGGGTTCAGGTCCTGAAGCAGGAGGGCGCTACACAGCCCTGCACGGCTGCACACCTCGGACACCGATGCCCCGGGAGACCGCTTTCTCTCTCCCGCCCCTGGAACCCTCCCCAGGCCCAGGCTTCCCGGCTCCTGTGGACCCTGCTTGGCTGGCTGGGTGGCTTAGTGTGACCAGCCTAAACCCTGTCACCTGAGGATAGGGGCCGCTCTCCTCTTCGAGAGCTGAGAGTGTGACTGACACTGGTTCAGGGAGGAGGGTGGGGACAGGAGTCGCCCGGGTCGCTGCTGACTGGCTAGAGCTGCTCCTTCTCAGCAGCACTGCTGGCCTTGAGTTGGTTTCATGAGGCCTCCGAGGAGGGGGACCTGCTGGTGGCATCCCACGGATGTGCTCAGCCACACACGAGGGGAGCCTGCAGCCAGCCCCCCACCCTGACCCTCCTCCCATCCCACAGAGGCTGTGCCACAATCAGCCCATCGCTGAGAATGGGAACAGGAGCCTGATGCTCCCGGGGTGGGTGGTCCATGGTGACAATGTCCACACCCACGGAGGGCTGGGAGTGGTCCCACAGAAGCCGCAGGTGATAGACAGACAGGTGAGGTCAGTGCAGGCCCAGCTGCTCCCGCCTCTCAGACAACAGCCTGCCAGGCCTGCTTCGGCACATGCTGTCCTAACCCTTAGGAGGGTGCCCTGAGGCCACAGAGCCCATCACCGGGATGGTTGGGACTCCTTCTCCACCTCTCCCACCAGCAGCCTGGGCAAAAATACAAGCCCCCACCCTGGGGCCCAGTGTGCCAATGACATCCACTCTAATAACCCTTGGTGGCTCTGCCTGCCACCCACAGAGACGCCCCCCCTGCAGCCTGGTTAGGAAATCCCCTGTGCCCACCCTTATCTACTGCCCTGGGCTGGGACCACCCCAGTGCTCTGACCTGGAGCAGATGGGACAGCAGTTCTAGGGCCCCCCAGGAAAAGTCCCACAGACTGGGGCTCCCCAAACAGCACAGGCCCGGCAGGGCATGCCCCTGCTCAGGTTCACAGAGCTGCCACCCGGGCAGGCCCAGCCACGGAAGCCTCCTTTTTGTAGCTAGCCCAGTTTAATGTATCCCAAACCCACGCTAACATCAGAAGTCAGACTTCCCAGTTCCGGGAGCCAGGGGAGGGGAGGGGAGACGGGAAAAGCCCATTCCCCCAGTGCCAAGCGAGGCAGGGTCCGAACCCCAGCCTGCCCACCACCACTCACCCTGCGGCCTCCCTCCTCTCGGCTTGGTTTTGGTCACTGGGTTCTTGAGATGAACAAAGGCTTCATTACCTGCCTACGGAGCCTTTAAAAATCTCCGGAAAATGCACTGCTTCCTCAGGCTGCCTGAGCCTCTCAAGGCTGTGCCTGCTCTGAGCCCACACCCCGAGGTGTGCTCACTTCCGGAACAGTGCCTGCCTAGGCCATTGTCATAGATCGCGGCCCATCAAGGCTGGTGCCAAACCATTAGAATCAACACTGGGCCGGGAAAAACGCCCCCGAGGCCAGTCCCCAGCCCCATCCCAGCCCCCTCCCTTCCCCGGGCCCACGAACACCCCTAGGTGCAACTGCAGGGTCCTTCCCATCTCAGCTCTGCTCTGGTCACCCTGCACAAGCTCCTTTGCCACTGTGGACCTCACCGTCTCTGTAATATGGGGACAATGACATCCACCTTCTCGGATTTACACACGAGGTGAGAGACGACGCTCCCTGCCTGGGCGTGGTGGGACTGAGGGACAGCAGCACCCACTGCTAACCCCCCAGGGGCCTCTGAGTACACGGGACAGGTGGCTCCAGGCTGCCCTGTCTACCCAAATTCCTCCCCTGCCTCTCTTCACACAACTGACCACCAGCCTGGGCCTGTGGCCGGAGGGGCCTGGGAGGAGGCTGCAGAGGCCGGCTGGGAGATGTGACAATAAACGTGGCCAGCAGGACCTGAGACTGTGCTGGAGGCAGCCCAGGAGGCTGAGTGCCCTGCAGGAACCCCGACGCTGGCCAAGCCGCAGGGCCCAGGCCCAGGGGCCAGGACTAGCCAGAGACTCAGTCTCACCTTCGGCCTTGAACTTGGTGCCTCCCTGTCCAAGGTCCCACGTGGGAGAAACATCCTCCCTGCACAGTCAGGCACACCAAGTGCCCCTTAATTTACATGTGAAGATGCTGTAGTAAGGACTGAAATCTGGCCTGGGTGATGCTGTCAGACACCCAAGGCCTCAAAAGAACCCCAAGCAGGCCGGGCGCAGTGGCTCACGCCTGTCATCCCGACACTTTTGAGATGCTGAGGTGGGCAGATCACCTGAGGTCAGGAGTTCAAGACCAGCCTGACCAACACGGTGAAACCTCATCTCTACTAAAAATACAAAAATTAGCTGGGCGTGGTGGTGGGAGCCTGTAATCTCAGCTATTCAGGAGGCTGAGGCAGAATTGCTTGAACCCAGGAGGCGGCCATGTCAATGAGCTGAGATCGTGCCACTGCACTCCAGCGTGGATGACAGAGCTAGACTCAGTCTCAAAAAAAAAAAACAAAAAAAAAACCCAACAATAACAACAACAACAAAAAAAACCCAAGCAGTTGGGAGAGGTCCAAAACACATGGCAAGGTTGCAGGCGGTCAGGTGCCCCGATTCCCTGAGGTGCATCCCGGGTCTAAACGGCTCCAGTAGGGACCCTGGGGGTCTGACGGCTACCACGGCGGCTGGTGTGTTCAGGGCACAGGGGGAGTTCAAATCTCCAAGGACGTGGCATCTAGTGGCAGAGCTGCCACCCCTGGAAGCAGCTCAGGCTCTCCAGCCACACACAGGTTACACAGAACCTTCTAGGCTCCTCAGCCTTCAAGAAGCGGGCCCCTCTACTCTGAGCCCCAGCTTTGTATCTTTTTTAATTTTTGAGACGGAGTTTCACTCTTGTCGCCCAGGCTGGAGTGCAATGACTAGATCTTGGTTCACCGCAGCCTCCACCTCCTGAGTTCAAGTGCTTCTCCTGCCTTAGCTTCCCAAGTACCTGGGATTACAGGCGTGTGCCACCACACCCGGCTAATTTTGTATTTTTTAGTAGAGATGCGGTTTCTCCACGTTGGTCAGGCTGGTCTTGAACTCCTGACCTCAGGTGATCCGCCCGCCTCGGCCTCCCAAAGTGCTGGGATTACAGGTGTGAGCCACCGGCCCGGCTTCCAGCCTTGTATCTTAAAGGCAGCTATTTACACCTACTCTGTGATCTGGCACCACAGTAAAGAGAAAACGAACAGACATGAAATTCCCAGTGGCTTGCTGGGCACACAGTAGGTGCTCACACGAGGCAGCCACCAACGACTGCTAATTACGAAGTTGGTTCTGGAAAAGCAAGCCACGGCCAGACACATGGCGGTTCACACACCCACCTGGAGCCTCTGTTCCGTTAGGGTTTGTCACAAACACTGCTCGTATCCGTAGCGGCAAAATGACAGGCCAGCAGTTCTAGATGAGAGAACGGAGTCCTGCTTTCTTTACACACACTGTTTTCAGACCCCAGGCTCGCTGCATCCTGACCAGGTAACCAAGGCTACACAGGATGGATTCTGCCCCAAAGCAGCAGCAAGGTTGCTCTCATCAGCCACGCCAAACGTGGGGAGCTTGCCTGGCTGCGTCCCTGTGCGCCCCAATCTCTAGAACACCCCTTCCTTCCCCTTCGATCGGCTCTGCCCCTTTTAAATGGCGGAAATAAAATGCGCCCGGCAGATGGGTGCTGCCACCCCATGACCTGCTGAGCGTTTTAACGTCTCTCTTTTAGGAGAGAACATGCTGAGATCATTTGGCCAGGCTAGCGCCACTCTGGTCAGATGGTTAAGTTTTGTAACTTAAACATTTTTTGCCCGTTGCAAAAGGAAGGGGTGCTCATTCAACAAACTTTTGGAAAACGTAGAGAGAGACAAAACGCGGCAGCAAACACCGATAACCCCGTGCCAGGCCCGGCCCTCAGCACCCTGGCCCATGGGGGTTCCCACGTGCGTGTGGACATGGGCTGCCTCCACCCACCCGCAGAGGCCTCTCCCA